CCCTCCGCTGCAGCCACAGAAGTAAATAATCACACAAACAGTCCTTCTGCAAACTACAGAAGAACATAATGCAAACACTGAATTGTGAATTTTCAGTGCACCCTGTAATTTAATTCACAATGTGCTATAGTCTCATTGCTAAGATGAAAACTAGTAGTAAGCTTTTCATACAATAAGCACATCCCAAAGCACAGAGCAATCCAAGTGATCAAAGACTACTCTCATAGCACAGGAAAAAGACCATCTACACAATCTTTTAGGAACTGCCAATTCCTTTCCCTAATTCAGTGTTACTATACTGAATTAAAACTTTAAAGTTTACAAACACTGCTCAGAATCATGCCGGTATCAATAACGCAAGTTAAATTCTAGGACTCTTAAGTAAGTGGGTGCCACATTCAGGCACCAGCCCTCTCATATAATAAGAGCTGCATAATCAGAGCTTGACTTATTTTGAGTCAAATAAAAGCCTAAAGAATTATTAATAATAAATATTAATAACAAGGACATACAGGAGAGACCATTTGAACAAACCAAATTATTTTCTAAGGTAACAAATGCACACTCCAAACTGGAAACAAAATCACAGAACTCAGGGGGACTACTATAGAGCATATGGGTGTCAGATGGAAAGGCTTTGTGGGGAACTTGCTACAGTACTTAAATATGGAGTCTGGCAGAATCCTGTCATGAAAACCTACTGTACACTTTTTTACACTCTGTATTAAAACAGCTTAATTCCATGTTTTCACACAGAATTCATAGTGCAGTCCAAGAAAAAAAACAAAAACAAAAAAACGTTGCTACTAAATCACAAGAACTCTCTCTGCAACTCAGGCCTCTCAAATTTTCTCTGCCCAGTCATGTCATCTGACTGGTCACACAAGAATATATGTCAGCTTGGAGCTTGTCATGGCGCTGATTAGAGATTATTTTTCAAGGAGCCGTAGTTAATATGCTTAAGCTATTGGACAAAAATGTCATATATGCTCTTTATATGCACTTTGCTCTCTGCATTAAATCATATGCATCATAGATCTTTAAGGACAAAATTACTGATTCACAGCACATGCGCTCCTTTAACCACTGCAGTTTACCCTATCAAAGTATTACTGAATGCTCTTAAGAGTATAGAAAGGAAATTAGCATGTTTTATTTCCTTTAGCTATTCTTTTATTTTCTTTAGCTAGAGTTTCAATCTCTCAGAGTCTTTTTTTTTTCCCTCATAATAATTTAATCTTGTTGAAAATTTTTTAGGTCCACATTGTATTGATGGGGGCCCCCAGTTACCAGATTATGTTCCCAAAGTTATTGTTTTAGAGGGCCTAAATTTTACATCCAGTAATACTTCATGAAATTAATTAGAGTCTCCAATGTTTTTACTATTGCTTACTACTTCCTATATGTTTTCATTTAACATGTACTTTTCTTTATATGCCTTGTTCTATGCTTACAAAGCACCTTTCTGCTGGAGACTGCCTGGTCTGAGCTCAAGGTAGCTGAGCTATCTACAGATTCTAAACTTTCAGCTCTGTAATTTTGCGTCTTTTAACTAGTTTGGCTTCTTCCTATACTTTCCCTGTAACCCAGTAAGTGCTTCATCTGCCTTATCCCCGTTTATGTTGGTTTAGCACTTTTTACAGTGGCTTGCCAAGGGGCAAACGACGACTGCAGTAGCGAAGCCTCATAAATAACATCAGCACTGAAAAGCAACCAAAAGTAAGTAAGTAAGAGATTTGAGCCGGTTTTCCCTGCTCAGAAAGCTGTCTCCTTTCATCCAGGATAAATGAGCACTTTATAAACTCAGGGTTTACAAAGACACAGTGGAGATGCTTACTTTTCCGTCAAGTTTCAGACACAGGACTCATCCCTCACTCCAAGGCCCCTCAGCCTCCACCTCACAACCTCAGGCAGCGCGCCCCTCACCGCCCTCTCGTGCGAGGCGCCGGCACTCCTCTCAGCCGCTGGCCCCGGTCCAGGCGGGCGGGCCAGCCCCGTCAGCTCTCGGCATTCCCAAACCCATGAAGGTGCCGTGGCACCCTGCAGAGCCCGCCTGACGAGCAGCCGCGCCTCTCCACTCCCTCCTCCGGGCCCCGCAGGGCTCAGGAAGCAGCTCGGAAGCGACACGCCTGCCCCGCGGCAGCCGTCGATGGAGCGCGACGAGCCGGAGACGCTGCCGGCCGCTGCTCAGCAGGTACCGGGACCGAATCAGTGTCGACAGGGATGGGCGAGGTGGGAAGCTCGCCGCTGCTCAGTAAGCTGGCTGGCATTCACCTGGCTTCTTTTTACTTTTCTCAGTCCCTAATCGCGGGACATTGCTGGGGTAGGAAAGTTTGAGGGGCAGCGAGGCCGGTTATGTACGGCTTCGTAGCGACCAGCTGCGTGAAGCAGCCCAGGCGGATTGGTGCTTCAGCCCGAGTGACCTGACAACAGCTGTGGTTTCATCTCTGTGCAGTTTAATTCTAATTTGGGTGAGGAATATAGATCATAGGTGCCCCGCAGGCAAAAAATACAATCTGAGGAGCCTTGTTCGTGTGAGGTGGGGGATTTGTGGCTGCTCAGCACAGCTAAAGTTCCATCTTGCTTGAGGACCAGAACTTGAGCACTCCTGTTGGGCTTGCTGCTAACAGGATGATCTGGCCTGCAGCTAGGCCCTGGGAGAGGACCAGCGCATCCCGTTCACCTCTTCAATAGCCTTACATGTGTAATAGCTTGCTTCCTAACAGGCATTTTCTTCCCCATCTGCAGTCCAAGTGCACCTTTACGAGCACTGCTAGTCTTCACATTTCACCTGTGTCACAATTTCTGTTGCCCCTTCTTGTCTTTTCTTGCCCGTTCAGATGTGTCTTTTCCAACTGCGGAAGGGACCAGTGACACTGCTAGAGTCTTTGAGCTGTACAGTGCGCATTTTCTTGTAACAACTGGAGAGGGGCAACTAGGCTGTTCTAGTTCAGTGCAATTTCATGTGTATTGTGCTGTAAGTAGCATAGAGCATTAAAATTTTAAGAAAGAATGAGAGTGATGCTTTTGCTGCTTGAATCAGTGGTGAAGTAAAATGTAGCACCTGTAAGCCTGGATGAAAAAAGGCTGAGGGAAAATGCTACCTATAAAACTACATATGATATGGAGAAGATAAGTAGATAATAGGGGTTGGACTGTCTGTGATGACATAAAAAAAATTTGGGGAACTCAACTAGAAATATTTGACAAAGAAGAGTGCCCGTTTCTTCTTGCGATGCATTGTGGATGGATTTTTAGCAAAGAATGGCCACGTTCCCATGTCAGAAAGTGCCTGCATGGCACTCAACATGAACTGAGGATGAAGGAGGACGTGGGTAAGGAAGAAAAATTAATGGTGCAAGCAAGATAAGAAGAAACTGGAATGTGCTAAGATACAAAATAGTGAACTGTTATTTAAAGGTTAAGTTCCCATACGCTTATTTGATTAATTGTATACTCGTTGCTGTGTGCTGCAAGAATATGTATCAAAGCATAATATACTAAGCTATTGTATATGTATCTAATTATACTACAGCAAGTTATTGTATATGTATCCAAATATAATACAGCGAGCTATTTTATATGTAGCCATAGTTGCTGTGTGCTACAAGAATACTTATCCGATTATGATACAGCAAGCTATTGTAAGCAGGTGCAGAGAACAGTATAAAAAATGATAGATGCTTTGTAATAAATGGCTTTGGTCTGATCATATTGATCTCTGACTGAGTTCATATTTTTTCTGCAGCAATGCATAGTTTAGATGTGGCATTCATTGCCATGTGATATGCTCCATCCCTGTCAGTGTTCAAGGCGAGGTTGGACAGAGCCTTGGGTGTCATGGTCTAGTGTGAAGCATCCCTGCCTATGGCAGGGGGCTTGGAACTAGATGATCTTATGGTCCTTTCCAGGTTTAAGCATTCTATGATTCTGTGATGTTGTAGATGCTAAGAAATATACATGGCTTCAGAAAAGGGGCAAATCCAAGGAGCAATCTATTAAGGGATGTGATACGCTGTGAACATGTCTGCTTTGAGAAAGTCTGAGATATGAAACCTGATGAAAGCTGGGACAGGGAAGTTGTGTGCTATATTTTTTTCATGTCTTACACTCTTCCCTAAGTGTCTTGTATAACCGTTCTCAGATAACAGGGTACTAGGCTATACTAGCTTTTGATCTGAGCCAGTGTTACTTTTCTAGTTAGTACTTCTAAGGATTAAAGGTTTCACTTAACTATGTAGCCCTCTTTGAAGCACTCTTATGCTTGTTAGCTTATACTACTATTTACTGATGACTTAGCTTTGTCAGTAATTTAATTTCTTTTCCAGGAGTATTAGTGACAAGCATCTGAGTTTGTGCTACCAGCTATATGTTAAATAGGCTCCTGCATCCATGAAATAGTGGTTTTATTTTCACGGTAAGTGCACGATGTTTTGCTTTTGCAGAACACAGATGAGCATTTTCTTCATTAAATGCATATTCCTCTTTTGAATTACACAACTTTATTTAAAATACTGGCCTGCTAATGAGTGACTCTAAAATGTTCTCTGGCAGCAGAGTGATGATCTGAGGAGAGGACCATTCCATGCTTATGAAGAAATGCTTTTTGAAGATAAAAGCTTTAATTTTTTAAGCTGTTGGCTACAAACTGTGCTTTGGTTTGTACCAGACCTTTCCATAGAAATTTCCTGGGACTAGCCAATTATTATAGTGTCATTAACTATTCATAATGAACTAAACCATTGGATGATACAGGAATATTTAAAATGCCGAATAAAACCTTCAATTAGAGTATCTTCAGATGTTGGCATACTTTACTAGTAACATTTAATTCCCCTGATTCAATGGCCTATTTTTACTGACCAGTTGTATTAGCCAAGATATTTTCAAAACTAATTGATTCACATGTCTGCCTTTGGAAAGTGACTAAAAAGCTCTTTGTTTAACAATGTGCCTCTGAGTTTGTATACATTTCTGTCCTTTCACATTTATTTTTTTCTTCCAGAGGAGAATTAATTACAGAAGATTCTGGGTCAGACTTATACAGGGATTAGTTGCCTAACATTTCTTTGATTTCTCACTGAAAAAAATGGGATTTAGGTATCAAAATACCTCTAAAAATCTGAGTCAATGACTTTTTTTCTTTTTATTTAATCTTGAATAGACTATCTGTAAAATCCTTTTGCTCACTTATTTTTCTCATGTATAATGTTATCATTGTTTTTCTGAAATAGGTAGATGACCAAACAGCCCTTGTTAGTAAACCCAGGAAGAAAGGAGGAAAAGGTGATCTAGCATCAGCTGGATTTAACATTATCAACTCTATCATAGGATCAGGTATAATTGGTAAGTATACTTTTCTTCACTAGCCTGTGTTCAGCCTTCTTTATACATGCATGACTAACCAGTTTGGAGAACTGACACTGTTATCTTACTGTCTCCTGCTGTTCCTAAAGATTTTTCTCTATTTTTATTTACTTACTATGCAAAAATGCAGAGGTGTCAGTTGAGATCAGGTCTCTCAGTGATAAATGTCTTACAGCTGCTTTGCCATAATGATAAGAGGCTGGGTTGGGTAAGTGCTAACTGAATTTCACACCTAGGCAGCTCTTTGTCTGTTAATAACTTCAGAAAGATCATTTTTAAGCATGCTAGTCCATTTTGGGCAATTGGTAGAACTTTTTTTAAATTTGAATATTTATTTTGGTTATCACACATAAGTATTTGGGACGTTTTCTCTATAGTCTCTCCTCTTGTTATTTACAGGATTGCCATATTCAATGAAGGAAGCTGGTTTTCCACTAGGAGTACTGCTTTTATTTGGAGTTGCCTATATCACAGGTACTTTAAAAGCAGTTTCTGGTGTAAAGCGAGCTTATCTTGGGCTTAATAATACCTTAAACAAGTATATGTATGATAATGTATGATAATTAAAATGACAGGTTTTTTCCTTATCTCATTAATCCCTTGAGCAGATTAGTAAAAGTAGAGAATTATACTGTACAACACATAAAGCTGCTTTTTGTGTGCATTTTATTTTCGTAAAGCATAGTTTCTTAGACTAGGTCAAGGTGACATTTGGAAGAATAGCTTTTATTTGTGCCTCATAATCACCTGGTCCACTGTTTTTACCCTAATTAAGAGACTGATCCTTGAGGGGGTTGTATATCACTTTTTAAAAATCTATCACAGAATGAAAACCTTTGGTTGTAGTATGATTTTGAATATTTTATTTAGTTACCATTCATCAAAAAAATAATGTATTTACCTTCAAAAAGGGAAAGGGTTTGAAATAACATGATAAATAAATAAATCTGCTGACGTCAAAGGCAAATTTCTGTAAAGACTTTGGATTCAAGACTTAAAATGATGAACCAAGTCTACATGAATGTTACAAATTCTGTTACTTGTGCGCTGAGCAGCAGTTGATGCTTTGCATTGCTTAAAATATAATGTAAGGTTCTGCATAAATGACTGGAGAGCAATATAACATAAGGAACATGTTCCTTATGAATGGAAAATTTTCTCTGTAGATTAATGGAATTATAGCATGAGCATAGCTGAGAAATTTCAGTTACTTTTCTGTAAAAAATCTGATTTGTCCTTTGTACGTGTAAGTATTTTGAAGGCCCTATAGCCATAGGCCCAGAACCTGTGAATTAAACTTATAATTTTATTAGGTTGAAGATTTGACTCAATATATCTTGCATAAGCAAATTATATATAGTTACAACTTTTCAACTTGTAGCATTTAAAATACAGGCTAGATATGTACCATTAGCATTTATTTTCCATAGATTTTACTGAATAATTGCTGAATAGCTGTTATTGAGCAATTCTCGCTGTATTTCATTTTGGGGGATCTTTTTGGTTTTATAATGAGTCTATGTAGGCTGGGTGTAGTCCAGATTGACAGACAAATACATATGATACGGTAAATCTTTTTTTAAAGTTTTGTGGGTCTAAGATCCCTTGCTATAAACACTTAATATTTCTTGTGCAAGATCAGTTTAGCGTGTAGCATAATTGAAAATGGACAATTCTGTACTTCTCTTTTTGTCTGCTCCCAATTATAGTGTGCGTATATATTGTGTAAGAATTGCATATGCTCATGTGAATCTCTGGATTGGCTTTAACATTAGCACATGGTAGAAATCTCCTTCATAAATTTCAGTCATTCCCAGAAGATAATAAACACTGATACTGTTCACAGAAAGGAACTGTTCCTATCGCAGCACAAATTACAAGCTAAGTGAAAGACAGATGAGGAATAGACGAGGTCTAGCTACTGTCTGTCAAGACATCTGTACTAAGGTAATGAATTTTGTGCTGGACTGGAAAATCCCATGGTGCTCAAATAAAATCAAAAGCATAGCTGACCTAACTACAATATTTTGAACTGTTCCTTATAAAAAGTTGAGGTTCAATCTGGGAGTAGTTCTGCCTGAGACATCAGCTCTGCCTCAAGGCACATTGCTTCATGGGTTTCCAGAAAAATCACTTTGCATATGTTTTATTTATTGATCCAATGAAAACGTTTAGAATATTTTATTGTAAACAATGGAGAAGATGCAAAATACTAACCAGGTTTTATCTTTCATAAACTTAGATAAATAACTGAGTAAAGTGCACTATGACACAGGTAATCCTTGTGTTTTACTCCCTTTCAGGATATAATCAAATGCTCTATTCATTCAGGAGACCTCTGAATTTTCCTTTTTGGGTGCTCGTGACAGTTCTCATTCTATTTGACCACACTGGGAACCAATGAAAATGAGACTTTCTGCTGTCCCTAATTGGGAAAGCTGAAATAATTTCTACTATGAGCCTGTAATTCCTGGGTTTGGTAGATTCAGAACCTTTGAGATTTTTCATCCCTTCTCTTCCCAGTGCCACTGTTCTCCTTTTTACAGACCTTTTTAAAAAAAAATTTTAAGGAATTAAAAAGATGAACGGGAACCACCATTTGGTTCATATTGTCTTTAACAGTAATTTTCTATTTTAACAGATTATTCCATTATATTACTAATCAAAGGAGGAAACCTCTCCAGTGCCAACACCTATCAAGATCTGGTCAGAAAAACATATGGGCTTGTAGGTTATCTAATTCTTTCAACTCTTCAATTTTTATATCCATTTATTGGTAAGATTACATACAAATATAAATGTTTAAGTTTTATAAAAAACAAGCTTTTTTACATTACCTCAGTCTTTCACTGGTTAAGTATTAAGAACTCTGAAAAGAATATACTGCATATGCCTCTTTCCTATTAAAAAAAATTATTACTTGGTGTGTTCTGAAGAACGACTGAGGAAGGATTCGGTGGAGGACTAGAATAATAGAAATTAACTGAAATGTAATAGCAGAGAAATTCATGATCACACACTTAAAAATTAATAACAGAAGTAGCTACGAGGAATAGCAAATAAGAGATTCTGTTCTAGAAAGAATAACAGAGCACAAAGTGATGTGCCTGAAACAAAAGAAAAATATAACTTTAGGAGTATATTGAATTAATATTTTTCCAAAGATGTACTATTTCTCTCATTGGAGAAGCCACTTATCAGATCTCACTTGAGTAATCTGTACTGTCATTGCTCTTCAGCAGCCTCATGCTCAATGAGCTACTAGGAAATTGGGCAGTCAAGACCCCTTTGAAGAAGAAATTGTAAAAAACCAAACAGCTGTAATCTGGGCAGGAACTGATTAGACCAAGAGTTTAAAATAAAGGGGTATTCTGAATCTGACACCTATGATTCAGTCAAGTCTTAAATAAGCTTGTTGTTTTCACACATGGGCCTGTGAGAGGAGATGACTTGAGAAACCAAGACTTTTGTGACCACAAAGTCCCTGATCAAAATTCCTGCTTTGGGGATAATCAGTCTGAATTTATTACAGGTAGCTGAGATTTTTTAGGAGGTCAAGTTAATGCCACTGCAGCCCATAATGTTATACATGTTGACTTAAAGAGTATAATAAGTACTATTTCTTAGAGAATATGGAAGAGAATTTTAAAGATCCCAGTCCTTAGCATGGAGTAATTATGCATATATATGCTTCTGTTTGTTTCTATAAGTAGTGTTAATGACTTATAATTTCATAATAGTGAATATTTATGCATTAGTTGAGGTCAGTACCTAGAATCCTGAAAGACCATCTAGTTCCAAGCCCCTGTTATGGGCAGGGACACCTTCCAGTAGGCCAGCTCGCTCAAGCTTCATCCAGACTGGCCTGGAACACCAGGGATGGAGCAGCCACAGCTTCTCTGGGCAAGCTGTTTCAGTGCCTCATCCCCCTCATAGGAAAGAGCTGGTTTCTAATATTTAATATAAATCTACCCTCTTTCAGTTTAAAGCTGTTTCCCCTTGTTCTATCACTACAGGTCTTTGTAAAATAACTCTCCAGCTTTCTTTCAGGCCCCTTTATGTACTGGAAGGCTGCTATCAGGTCTCCCCAGAGCCTTCAGGTTGAACAACCCCAGCTGCCTCAACCTGATCATCCTCCTGGCTCTCCTCTGGACTCCATGTCCTTATACTGGGGGTCCTTGCACTTAGCCTTGTTGAACTTCATGAGGTTTGCACTGACCCACCTCTGGATGGCATCCCTTCCCTCTAGCTTGTCAACTGCACCACACAGCTTGGTGTCATCTGCAGACTTGTTGAGGATGGGCTCAATCCTACTGTCACCCACAAAGATACCTATATGTGTGCTGTGTAAATGGTGAAAACCCCATGAGTCTTCAAAATAAATATATTTTGTGTGTACACACCCATGTACGCATACATTTCTAGTGTAGGATAAGGTAAGAATGAAATATGGATGTTAAGGCTACAGTTCTTATTAATGAGAGGAAGGAATGGAAGTCCGTATCTGATACCTTTATCTCTTTTCTCTTTTCTTCTGGTTTAAAGATTTTGCTAACTTTTTACATGAGCTTTTGATTGCAGGACTGATTAGTAGACTAACAGGCACTTTACTAAATAGAAGTTTGAAAATAAACTGACAAAGAATTGCTGTTAGAAACAAACAGTTTGAAGAAGCCTTTTTTCCCTATTCTGAAGTAAGCTTGTATGGCAAGTTAGCACAACTGCCTTGCTGATCAGGCTGGATTCTTGCTTAGGTTGTATCTGTTTAAAAAAAGAGAAAAAAACAAACCCACCAAAACCCTTAAAAGATGTTGGTGCTAGCCAGAATTCATCCAAGAGGGAGAGTGGCATATAATCCTGAAATCTACAAAACATGTATTAAATATCAGATATTTCATATTTGACTTGTACTAACAAAAAAATTGTATTTTCTTTAAGCTATGATCAGTTACAACATAATAACAGGAGACACTTTAACTAAAGTTTTTCAGAGAATTCCTGGAGGTAAGATGCATTTTAAAAATTCAGGATGGGGAAAATGTGTTGAATAGGAATACAGCACAAATATTTATGGATTACCTGTTGCATTACTTTTAAATTACTCTTAAAGATAGTTCAAGTTAAGAACTTGAAGCATATTTGTGTGAATAGGTTTTTGTTGGTTTGGGTCTGTTTCTTTTGGGGGTGAGTTTGTTTGGGTTTTCTTGTTGTTAATAAGTCTTCACAAATAAAAACTATGAATCCTAGTCCTTGGCTATCATTGGACTCGGTGTCAGTGGGAGACCACATGCTTCAGTGAAATCCTAAGCAAATAGAAGGAGTCTTCCGCAGTGGTATATTTACAAGGTCATTACATTTTGCTATCTTTTTTTAGGTATTTCTCATAATAATAACAATATTTTTAATACTAAAACTGCACTTTATCTATTGAATAATTTTGGATGGCTTGCAAATAATATAGTGGATTTAATACTTATGAGTGTGTTTATAATAGTTGGTCATGAACCACATATGTAACTTTCAGTTCTATTAGATATTCACTGCAAAAACAAATGTGGAAATTTGAACTATTTAACTCATGCACTTGTTACCATTCTGCTGTAAATTTTCACAGCAGAAGCAGTGGAGCAATTTATTTGCATGTTTAACATCTACTTCAGCACAAAGCCAGCTAAGTTAAAACATTCTTCACTGGGAAATTAAAGTAAAAAGAACATGTCTGCTATGAAGTGGAAATTAGTATTTGTATAAACTGTCTGATTTCCACCTCAGGATTGTAATTTTCAACAGGTGAAGCCTTCAAAGTGTGGATGCAGTTTTAACTGTCACACTCTGTTGTTCTGTGAATACCTGATTGGGTTGATAGTGACATTGAATATCTAATAATTTATATGCAATACCACTTCTGTAATAAGAGGAATCTCCAGCTTGGCAAATCTTTTCACCCAGCTGGTAGAATGCCTGCCTAGAAAGAGATGGGAAAGCATTATAATCTCCCAAAGATTAGAGGGAACTGAACACAGACTTCTGTGTCAATTGCCAATCAGTTTTCAACCATAATTATTCAGCAGGCTTTCATTCAAGCCCATGATTCATGGTAGCCTGACTGAAACTGAGTTATGTTTTATTTTAAGTTGTCATTAGCTTTAAAGAAAAACTCCAGCAGTTGTACAAATAAATCCCACTGATTGCGGGGAATATTATATCATTCTTGTTGCCTTCACGTGGTAATCTGTATTTTGCAGTGTAAGCCAGCTGACTGCAAGAAAGGAGGTGCTCAAAAGAAATCTAAACATTAACTGATATTAGGGTAATTTTTTTTAAGAATTTGCTTCTTTTCAACAGCACAGTAATTGAAGTCAACACAGTGCCAAAAATTCCCCAAGAGTAAATGGCAGAAAGAAGTAGTGGAATGTTTCACTTGCAGTCTGCCAACACTGACCCAGGCATGATGAAAGAAATTAATACTAATCTATATGTAGAAATGCCAGACTCACAAAGTTTGGTATAATATATCCCATATGTTATGCATTTGTTTTGAATTTGTAGAATTCTTGTGATTATGCACATGCTGTAAATGGCTTCCTCAAGGTTAGCTAATGCTTAGTCTTTATTTCAGTGTTACGTAGCTTAAGTAAAGGGAATAAAAGCCTGGTCAGCATCAGAGTTTGTTATTTCTAGACTTTCAGATGTAACCAGACAGTTCCTCATGTCAGTCTCTTAGAAAAAGAAATTATTTTCTTTTTTGCTTTAGTTGGAACAGATAACGTGCTTACCGACCGTCACTTCATAATCCTTCTTACCACCATCATCTTTACCTTGCCTATATCTTTATATCGAGACATAGCAAAACTAGGAAAGGTAAGTCATAATAGCAGTTGATTTTTTGTTTACTTTTCTGTATGCAGTTAGAAAATAAGTGCTAGTTATAACTTAATTTATTTGAAATCAATTATATCTAGCTGAAGCATGTTAAATATTTAGAATTTCCCAAGAAATATTGGCAAATTCAGAATAGTTTAAGCAGAACTTTGGTCTTCATGAATCACTGGAATTTTTTCATCTACAGCTAGTAGAACTCAAGTCTTGCAAAACACTGGGTGGTATGGACCTGATATTGAAATGCTGAGAACCATTGACTAGAAATGTTTAAATGGGAATATCAGTTAAAATTAGACAAATAGTTGTAACTACCTGGCTAGTTACTTTAAAAGAATAACAAAATATTATGATCTAGGACAAGCTTTCTAATTATAAATATTTGATGCAATATTTAAAATAAAAATATTATAATTTTAAAAAAGCACATTATAGTGAAAGCCTTTCAGCAGCTTACTGACTAAAGTAGTATTTTTACCTTTACAGGTATCTCTTATTTCTCTGATTTTAACCATTGTCATCCTGATTGTTGTGATGGTGAGAACAGTAACATTCAGTCCACAAGTGTGAGTATTCTTACACTTGCCACAAAGTGAATTTTTGATCATATATATAATTTGTTATTTCACTACTGCATTGTATCTGCATAGTTTTGAACTATGGCTGTTTTGAGAGAGAGATAATTGAAAAAATAAATTTGTATTAACAGGAATAGAAAATGAACTGCTAAACTTTATTTTATCCTCTTTTTAACCCCTCCGTTGCCCATAACCAAACTTAGGAAAAGTCTAAAAAAAAGTTACATATTAGTTGAAAACTGTGATATATGGCTAATAGCAGGTAACTCATGAATGGGCATATGAGATTGTCATTTGAGAAATCTTGAATTTCATCCATTACTGTCAGATGGCCTTTATTTATGATCTTAAAATACGTAACATCTTAATAATGTTTCTTTTTCTGTTAATATAATTATTTGTGTTAAGTTTTTATTATGAAATTATGAAAAGAAAAAACATAATATAGTAATAAAAATTTTATTCTGGCAATTAAAAAAACAGCAGTATAAGCATGCAAAACATTTTCAGCAGTACAGACACTCTGGAAGTAGCATTTAACATTGGACATCAGAGTATTCTAGACAATTTAGTACACATGAATATGTTGGGGCAGTGTTTTTCTAATTACATTGCAAGAAAGTGTTATGAATCCATAGTCTTTCCTTTATGCCTAGAAGGTCTACCTTTTCCTTAATCCTTTAAATGTGAAGACATTACTAATAAAGACAGCTAACTCTATTTCTGAAAGTGCTTTTCCATTTATTGGAACAGTTTTATATAGTATTTCTAATGTTTGTCTAAGAATTGGTTTCTTCCACCATGATTATTTCAGTAGTGTTATGCATAATTGTTCATTTGTTTTACTGCTGTGATATGTGTGTTACTTGCAGGGTATTTGTGTTTAATGCTAGGAAGATGGCTAGAATAGCAGTTTCTAAAATTGTAGCAGATGATACTATTATCCATAAAATGATGCACTTGGAACTGTGTGAGACTCTCCCTCTCTCTTCTTCCACTCCCCCCCCATCACCCCCCAAAAAGAAAGCATACTTTTCATACTGTGTGTTAAAGGGATATTTGAAAGTGTAATATCAAAATCCCCTTCCAAAAAAGGAAGGTGTTATATGTAATGGTTGCTGATGACCTTGTTACTATGGTAACATTTCTTCTCAACAGTTGTGATGCACTGAAAAAATATGGAATGGGTTCATTTTTTCTTACAATAACTAATGTTGGGTTTTAAATGATTCTTGATGTTTCACATTTTAATTCTTGAGAGACTTCCATTTTTGGCCTGGTTTTCAGAAATTCATCTAGCAAGTTGATTAACTGTTAATCAGAATCTTTTGCCTCACAAACATTCTATCAATGTCTATTTTTCATATTTGTGTTTTACAGTGGGAATTAGACATACGCTTTAATTATTACAGCAATCTTGTAATATTTATTAATGGTATAATGCTGTGCCATCTCTTTTTTTTTCAGTGAGGATGAGGAACACTAATATATTTAACACTAATATATTTTAATACAATCCCATCATAGTATTATAACAAGTGAAACAAGTCTAACGTATTTACTGTGAATCCTTACTAAAATACAGTAGAAGCTGGAGTTTTAAAAGTGATTTTTAAAAATCATGATTATGAAACACAGTCCTTAGGTTTGTCAGATAGGAAAAGAATTTGTCTTTTGCTTAAATGCAATCCATGCTCTAGTTGAAAATTTTATATCTATTATTTGGACAACAGAGAATATTATGTTTCCTGGAAACCTTCTGCGATGTGTTAGTCCATCAGCAAAACAACATTATGGTTATTTTTAATGATTTGATGAGCTTGAAACTGTAGGCTGAAAAAGAGCAATTATAAGTCTTTGAGTGTTGCTTTGGGAATGGAGTGGGTTGTCCAGGAACATTTTAGGAATGTTATTTTCTAATTAGTCCTCAAGAAAAAAAAACTATGATGAGGGATTGCTTGATTTAACTTATTTCCTCATATGACAAATATAAAACTGAGGTAATTCCTGCCCAGTTTTGGTTTTGATTAATATCATCCATATAGTTATTGTTTGCCTGAAGGACATATGAACCTGCAGATAAAATCCCATGTTCTGGACCCAGAGTTTATTCTTAGTAGGTTAAGATGCTGGATAAAAACACATTTTGATAATCTGATCTTTATTTCCACCTGCTTCTAGATGGGTATTTTTTGACTGTCATCAAAAACAATGGGTTAGAATTATCTCGGACTGTAAACATGCTGTATGTTAATACTGCATAAAATCATGCTTCAAAGCTGAAACTAACATCCATTGCTGTAAGAAGCAATATTTTATCTAGCTTATAAGGACGGATCATTTTTATTTTGTGTTCTTTTGGAAAGAATGTAGTGGTGTCAGTGTCTGCATAATACATAGATCTCTAGGAAAAGCTTCAAGAGCATCTGCTACACATAAATAAGATGTGAGAATTACTCAGCTGGCAGCTGATCACAGGGATGAAACACCAAGGGTTCATGAAAATAACTTGAAAGTAGAAAGTTGATTCTTTCCTTCATATAAATAATCCAATAGTAAGTAAAAAAAACTTTAATGTGTGATGAAATTAAAAAATAAAACTAAACTACCGTATATTTACAAAACTGCTAAGTAGCTCATTAAGGAAGAAAGAGGCATTAAAGCAGCTTTAACTAAGTGGGGCTGACATATAGCTTTGCCTTTTCTGTGTTCTTTAACAACCAAGATGACTTTGATTAACATAAAATTCAAGGCTGATGTGAGCATTACTCATTTTCATTCCATTATACTGATGAAAGTTATATTCAGCATGTATAATTTTTTTCAGTATCTTTAAACTTTTGAAGTTTAAACAAAAACTAAGAAGGTATTTTACCTTAGAACTGAACTGAAATTTTACAATTAATTTCCTAAATGTCTAAATCATTCACTTAAACATAAATTAATAGACCATGTATTCCTGGATTACTTTGATAGTTGCTGGTTTGAACCTAAACTTGGAGGTTAGTCACTGATCTTCAATCCAAAACAATGGATGTCTTTTGCTCATTCATCATGTAGCTCCTCTGTCAAACACAGGACTTTGCTTCCTCTCTACAAATTAGTTTTTTTGTTTGTTTTTTTTTCAGTCAGTGTTTTATACCTGAAAACTGGGTTTAGATCAGAGACCTATGTTTCTCTTTCTCTCCATAAAGGTATTTTGCTTCAGGTGCAATCTGCTGTACTGCATTTCACAGCATTTCTACATAAATGACAGAAAATATTTTTGCATATCATGGATTTTAGGGAATGCTATAGTGTAAATGTTTTACAAGAAGTAGAAGATATGTTGTTTTAGACTGCCAAACAATTTTGCCCAACCCTTACTCATGATCTGGATGTGAAATGCCCTGTTTTACCCTGTTAGGAAGTCTTAACTTTTGCCTAGTTCATTAGCTCTTTTCATTTTCCCTTGTTATTGTGTAGAGAAACACAAACTTCTAAAAACTCATTAGCATGTTTATATGCTATACTTTCTATTAACTATACTGAACACTGAGTAATTTTCTGAACCTCTAGACTTTCTTCATTGCTAGGCTTTACGACCTTGCTTTACCACAGACAGTTCTTATTGTCAGTCTATCTTGCTGTTGTCTTACTTTCAGATAAGAGTTTTTCCTCTCTGGGATCTCTCTTGGAATGTCTGTTGCTCAATCTTTTACTATTTTCATTCCAAGAATCACGGTTATATTACTTCTCAGTTTTTATTCTGTGTGACAACTACTGCATGATAGGCAGTACAGCTCTCAACAAGTGCATTTAGTATCACAAATGTATTTATTCTGTAACTTTTATTATGTTTTATCTAACTACTTCTTCAGCATGAAAAAAGCTTTGTGTTCATGCAGACATAGCCTGTGTTTTCATGCACCGAGGAAGTTAGCTGGTTTTGTTTATTAATGTATGAGCAGCCGTTAAAATCTTCCCCCTAACAATTCTTAACAAGAATGTAGGTCAGACTGGTCAGAACAAAGGTCCTTCTCAAAAAAAGAAAACCCAAACAGAAAACCAAACCAAAATTCAATCTTGAACAATAGCAGCAGGATTGAAAAAGCCAAACAGGCGTAGCGTTACCTGGTATTCTTGTGATAAGATACTTTCAGCCTGTGTATGCATCTGCCTACATGGACACATATTTATATGAATGTATGCATGTTTACCTTGGCACTTGATATTGCCACTAGGTGCCCTCTGTCTTGTGAGTAATTTTATGTGATTACTCACTGTGTGGCTCTTCCCTAACAGGTAGTTTCCTGACACAATTTTGTCTTTCCCAGTCTGAAGTCTTATTTTATATAGACACTTTCATGTCATCTGCACCCCTCTCCAGGAGCTTTGCATAAGTCTGTATGTTCTGCAGACTGGACCTGGGGCTGATTTGTTGTTGATATGGTGAGAACTCTAGAGCTGTTGACTCTAATCACTGAGAAATGGAATTGCTTACTGTGTTGTTTTCCCTTAGTTTATCACATATGTGTGAGAACCCTCTGTTCCCAGGGTATGAAAATGTTTTCCTAAACCCATGCAGCAGTATATAATTTACTGTAAGAAAGAGTCTTGTATTGTTGCATATCTAATCCGTATCACCATGCGTTATATGCCATTGCAATCTGCTGGTGGTGTTCAAATCACGAATCTGATGTTCTTCCTTTTTCTGCAACTAGAATGGAAAGAATTTATCTTCTTAGGCTGCTAAATAAGAAGGATTTTGTTCTTTTTTATTTTTGTCCCTCCAAATAATGCTCCTAATCTGATTTGGCATTTATGCATAAAGCAAAGCTATATTTTGGTCTATTGCATGTTGCTAGTGTATAAGCTAACATTGTGCAGGGGGAAAACTAGCTCCTGTGGTGGGGATTTTTTGTTTTTTTTTATTTTGTTATTATTATTTGATTATTTGGGCACTTTATTGAAAATGTTTTGACTGAAATTCACATGCTTTCTACATTCAGTTTTTTAAAATCCCTGTTTGTAGGAGCTTTTAATATAGCTATACTGTTACATGGGATGTACCATTTTCACAGAAATCATATGTGCTTCAGACAAAAGCATTCTTTATTTGTGTGCATTGATTTATAGGGTCTCACATAATCTAAATGTTAATTATTAATAGAAAAAGGGGTAAGAAGACTGTCACAAATTCTGTTATCAAAGGATAATATGAAAGGAATTTTCATTCTGAATGTTTGATATCAAAGCTGACCTCTAGTGGTTACCGAATAGAGCAGTTGTAATGTTAGCTTTCTATATTCTATTTTTATTTTGAAATATTATTGACTTTTTTCCAATCAGATGTGAATGTTTTCCTGAAAAATAATGCATTCAAAATTATGGATATGAATTGTCCACAGACATCTCTAGTGGTTTGATATCAGTGACATCAAGTTGAGGGAGGGTACTCTGTACAAGGAACTACAGCAGCTGTAGTGATTTGGAAGTCCTATTTCACCAGACAAATGCCAGATATCTCTATTTCATCATAGCATTTATTACATCTACATGCTGAGTCTGAGAATGTTTTAGGAGGGCCATATTCAGCTTTTTAAGACTAGAAGCAGTATGTTATGGTAGTTAAGACAACATACTGCATCTGAGGGCAAAAAACTGAACTTGATTTTGATGCTCAGATTCTGTTCACTTCAAAGTTAAGCTTAGCAACCACAGCTTAAGAGCCAAAAAGGTGCTCTAAGTCTGAACTGAATGTGCATTGCATATGTTTTGGGTATTTTTTTACTATGGAAAAGGCAGTATTGACTGTTTGAGCTCTCAAATAATAGTAAGATACAAGTTTTGAAAGAGGAAACAGCAACTTTTTTTGTCTTTGTCTTTTTTTTTTTTTTTTGTCTTTTTAGGGTGTGGGAGTGGAATTTAAACATTTGAAAGCAATGAAACCTAGCATAGCGTATGCCAGTATGCCACCAGATAGAGGGAGAGACAAAGCTGCCTTTGTTACCTTCACAGAACTGGCATAAGTGCCATACTGCTTTCTAGGGCAGTAGGAAAGTAGCAGCTAAAGCCTCAGGTGGCAGCAGCTTTCCCTCTAAATAAAAACAGAGCAAAGTTAGCAGCAACCGACTTTTTAAGAGCAAGTTGTCTGTGCTATTTCTTCTGTCTGTGTTTTATTTTTAATTACAAACACAGTGTTCAACTGGCTTGTGAGTTTCCTTTTATATTTTTAGGAAATTGCAGTTCTGGAAAATGATGTTTTGTGTCCTCCTTCATTTTTGCTCTCTACAGAGAGGAAGTTCATGCATCAAATAGGTTTTAAAAAGGTTTGCTGATGATTTTCTGTGGTCCTCCTCTAAAAACTACAGTTGCCACTGGTCCAGAATTGTGAGCATAACTTAAGAGTAGATGTGGGGGATATTACAATTCTTGCCTGATTTATCACTCCTTTGGGAACTAGCAGAATCCTTTCACTATGAGGAATATTCGGAACAAGTGTAAAGAAAGGCAAACTGCCTTACTTGATTTGTAGACTAGGGAAAAAAAGTGTCTCTATACTGCATGGATTACATGTGCAAATTCAAAGGAAGAAATTTCCATTAAGTAGTCAAAAGAGATTTTGGGTTGAGATAACCTTAGTCAGAATCAGTAACAGGTTTAACCTTCCCTGTTGCTTGGTCTATGACGACTTCAAGAGTTTATTTACAAAACTGAAACAGGCTGACATTTTGGCTGTAAAAGCTGGTTACAGAAATACTTTAGCCAAAACAAGGGAGGTGAGAAGGGGTCTCCCTAGTTTCAGCTTATTGTTGATGAACACTCTGGACTGCTTGAGAGAGTTCTGGAGATCTGATTAGCAGTTCTGTATTACAGCATAGTATTTTAAATTGTTTTTGATAACTGGTACTTGAAGAGGGAATAATCTATTAAAACAAATGTCTGTTTTAGACCCAAATCAGAAAATGCATGGATATTTGCAAAATCAAATGCAGTACAAGCTGTTGGAGTGATGTCATTTGGTAAGTAATTTTTTTTTATTTTTTCAATATTCAGATCAACTCTAACAAAGTCTTTAATACTTTGGACCTAGAAATTGCTTTTTTTTTCTATATATTCATGCTAAGATAGTTCAGAAAAAAATGAAATTGAACTTGAGACATCCATATGAATTTAATTGTTATGATTTAAGACATTATTCCTGATATTTCTATAATTTCCAAGAGACTATTGCCACTGTAGCACAGACAGAGGTGTAGTACGTGAATCTAGCTCAACTGTTGAGGTCATCCTAAAACACCTGCACCAACAGGGTTAGTTTAACTGATAAATTGAGGAGGAAGTCATCATTCTGTATTCTCTTGGATAACCAATAACAAAAAAATCTTATGCTGCAATTCATCCATTTGCTAGAGAATGCCTGTTACTTCCCATCTCTCACAATGAAACACCCGGGTGAATCTCAACTTGCTTCCATTATCCTCATTCTAAAATCAGTTCCTGCCTCCAGGATCCAGTATATTACTTCTTGTTGATACTGTGATAACCTGAGGCCTAAAATGGATGTCATAGGAAGTCTGAAAGTAGCAAATGGCTCTGTGGTTTAAAAAAAAAAAAAAATATCTCAAAACTGCTGTTGGGTTCTTAAGCAAAGAGCAAGAACAGGAAACAGAGGTGGAATGGAGGTGTGGAGGGTGGGAAACAGCGTGGCATTTTAGGGTAATGAAATCAGAATCATTGCAGGTTGAATATAAACCTCATCAAATCAAATAAGTAGAAGTTCAAGCCATTTATCCTTGCCAGTCATTGCAGGATTAATGTTTGTATTTAATAATGAGTGGATTCAAACTATGCTGTCTCTCCCCTACCTTGGAATTTATTTTATATGCCTGAATTCATATATTTGTTTCAACTGTCATATGTTTCAGCATTCATCTGCAACCATAACAGCTTTTTAATATATGGGTCTCTGGAAGAACCCACATTAAAGAACTGGTCTCGAGTCACACATGTGTCTGTCTCACTTGCTGTTATTATCAGTGTAGTGTTCGCCACATGTGGATATATGACTTTTACAGGATACACAGAAGGTAAACTGCTTGATTTCAGTGCTTGCTGCAATCCTTACATTCCTGCCTTTCTGTCCAATTTTTGCTGCTAATATCTTAGTGAATGTAAAAATGACAAAATCATACTGTATTTGGACAGAAACGGTTAGGACATCGCTTGTAGTGCCCCAACCACCAACACAGGATACAAAGATCTCAGCTGCATGCTGTCAGATTCCCAAGTGTAAGCCTCTCTGGTCAAAGTCCCCTTTGAATACTTCCATAATCAAAATAGTTCTGAGGACTAAGCATCTATAATTTAGCCATATGATCCACTAGCAGAGAGCAATAAGAATAAAAATTGCTTTGATTTTTCTATAGGATGCCTGACATGTATTTCTGTACATTCTGTATCTTTTCCTGTCTGTGCTAATACAGCGTTCTACCTCTGACTTAAGAGATATTTCCTGTCTTTACAACAGCTGTTTTGCTGTAACTAATCCTATTGCCACTTCTATGGTTATATGAATATACATAAATGTATAAATATATCTAATCAATGTTACATCATATTATTTAACATCATTTTGTTGAAGTATAAAAGGTCCTTTCAGAAGAACAAGGCATAAATTTGTTCAATGCATTAGCTTCTTCAGGAAAAATACATATTTCACAAGCAAGCAGATTTTCTGTTATTTAATAGTGCTGTTCCAAATGGTATAAGGCTTCCAAGCTTTTTCTTTCCTGACGAGCAGCAGCATCTAGTTGAGAACACAAACTATAGGATATAGATTACTGGTTGATCTGTCCTTTTTTCCTGCTTCTAGTGCTGTTTATGCTGAATAACTTACTGTCCTAGATGCACCTGTAGCTAGACTTAACAGCAAACTGGCTGAGGTACTACAAGTATAGAAAGCTCTGACTGCAGCTGTCCCTCAGCATATGACTCTACTGCAAGCAGGTTCCATCTTACTTTGTCTCCCCTGTCAAAATCTTTTATTTTCTTTTAAGTGCACCTTATTGCTTCTTCAGTGCTGCTTTGATCCTAAAAGTAGTAAATCATAAGACAGTAATTGAATAGAAAAGACCTGATAGATCATCTGATCACTGTCTTGTAGTGCCTGTCATGCTTCAGAGATCATTATTCCAGATTCTTTGTGGTAAACTCTAAGCAAGATGATGATTTGAATTCTCTAGCAATGTTTTTGTTGTTAGATGTAAGAAGATTTGCTAGGTAATAATCCATATGTTTATAAGGCCTTTCAGGGTCAGAATATTTGAAATTCTGTACTGCAGCTTACCAGCTGTGATTAGACACTATCAGAAAAAAAGCAGTTCTCCAGAGGTAACACACTGGTTGTCTTTGTGTAATTGCTGTTATAGGAATTACATTTTTAAAGGAAATGTATCTTTCTCATACAAGCTTTCTTTCTGAGTCTGTCACATATTTATTTAAACAAACACCAGCATCTCATACAAAGTCTGTGCTAAGGGGAAGATAACAGATGACAAACTCTAGTGTGTATATGTTAAAATATTTTTGAAAGATAAATGCTACTTGAAATAAAAACACTGCTACCAGCAGGATAAGCTGAAGGTTCCTCCTGGATATAATTTCTGACTGTGACTACAGTTTTTCTAGATGAATCAGGGAAGGGGATCAGAAAGTCTCAATTACTCCAGTAATTTACACTTCAAGTTGCAAATAGGCCAATGACATGAAGTTCAAACTAACTGATGCTTTGCTATGCCTCAGGAGATCTATTTGAAAACTACTGTAGAGATGACAGTCTTGCTACATTTGGAAGATTTTGTTATGGAGTTACTGTGATTCTGACCTTCCCCCTTGAATGTTTTGTGACCAGAGAGGTAAGAATTAACCACATTCTCCTATTAACAATGTCGATATGTATTAATATTACCTTCACATCATTAGTACATATTGCAGCTGAAGTCAGTGATTGATCTGTAATAAGTATCATCATATCCTATTCTGTTACATGCAATGAGTATGAGGTACAAATTGTACTGTTTGGATTCTGGTAACATAATGCTGTATTACATTTATTATAATATTATCCAATGTTCTATTAATAGCAAGACTGCTTAAAGTTCCAAGTTTGGCATAAATACCACTGTTGTTATTATGTTGAGATTAGCCAAAAATAGTATATTTATCATGCTTAATAGTTTTGGTTTGTGATAGTATCTTCGTCTAGGAAATCCATCTATTCAATAAATAATTGTAATTTTTTATTCTGTAGTGGGCATATGAGAAGAAAGTAAGTATACCGTAAATCCTGCAGGTGTAACTAAATCAGTCTTGCATGTGTTCTGCAATTTTAGTAAAGCTTTTTATGAGTTAATTATGGAAGTGGATGAAGATGTTTTCTTGAAGCAAAATAGGTAGACTTTGGTCAGTGTATTCTCACCCATTCTTTTAGTTTCCTAATGTTAGAAGATTTGGAATAATCTGTTTGTTCAGGTAAAGAGCAAAACCAAGGTTTAAAACTGTGGTTCTGTTTCAGGTGATTGCCAATGTGTTTTTCCATGGGAACCTCTCCACAATTTTCCATATTGTTGTGACAGTAGTTATCATTGCTGTGGCGACTGGTGTATCATTAGTATATGATTGCCTTGGAATAGTTTTAGAGCTCAATGTAAGTGAACTTGTATACTCTTAATAAATCATTTTCTTATAAAACAGAACTATGAAAAATCCACAGCTCTACTGAAAATATTACGTAATTCACCATAGTAGTCAGTAGAAATGTTAGTAGGAAAAAAATGAATTATTCATTGCTTCAAAATTGGATAATTACAGAGGAAAGGGAGTTCAGAGGTAAAGTCCATATAGATGGAAAGTGCTTTCAGGGCAGTTCTGGAGATATGGCAAATGGCTGTGATTTACCAAATGCATCTAAGCTGCAGTAGAAATCACTAAGATACTCATCCTAACTGTATTGAAGGAGTGAATCTAGCATGTTTTTCTGTAATCCCTGCTTCTGATGAAGTTGGCAAATTACTAAACACTGAATCAGATCCTAAAAATTGCCTTGTGCCAAAGAGACAAAAAACAAGGGGATAAAGAAAGAAGCAGTAGTAGTGAGACCACAGAGGTAGAAACTGGATTTTTTCCCTGTGTTCTCCATGCAGCCTTCTCTTCTCCAGTCTGAACAGATGAAATTTTCTTAGACTGTCTTCATATGGGAGGTGCTCAAGCCCCCTTATCATGGCCCTCCTCTGGACTTGCTCCAACAGTTCCATGTCCTTACTATGTTGGGGACACCAGAACTGTACACAGTACTCAGCTATTATTAATAACTAAAGAAGATGTGGAAATACATTCCAGGATATGAAAGTTAGAATATGAAGAAAACTTTTTAAGGACAGCCTTTAATTCTTTATAGAAGTATTCTGGAATTGCTTTCTTACATCTCTGTCCATGCATTCATTGATATTTTCAAGCCATATATTGCATGCTTATTGATGGAACAAAATGGAGGGAGTTGTTATTTATCCTATGTGATACACATACTTGTATGTACATTATGGTACAAGTATACTGTTTTGATCCACAGAGCAGTTTATCTGCTAACTGAGCAGTAATGAGTGATTTTGTATCTGTGATTTTACCGGGTTATGTCTCTTCTAATATTATAGAACAGGTTTCAATATTCAGATAAGTTACATAATTACCCTCGATTTTAAATAATTACCTACTTAACAAATCATAACTAGTTCAAAATAAACACTATTCCTAATGGTTTGGTCAGGATGCATGTTTCCGTTAAAATTTTCTCACTCATGACGTCTGCTGATGATTTCTTTTCCATCTTTTTTCCACTCTGTTTTTACATTAAAAGTGCAGAAAATTCACCTGTGTGTGTATATATACACACCAATAGAAGTATTTAAATGTGTGCATATGTACATGCATATTCTGGGCAAATATCTGGATACTGGTATAATAAGCCTGATTAACTTTGTGTGCCCATATAATCTATGTATATGTATGTGTGGTTTACATTTATTATATGTTATAATGTATTAAGAATAAATTTACACCAGAGAACTGCCAGTAAGTTTTTCTAGCATGAACAGATATAGAATCATACAATCATAGAATCATAGAATAGTTAGGTTTGGAAAGGACCTTAAGATCATCTAGTTCCAGCCCCCTGCCATGGGCAGGGACACCTCACACTAAAACATGTCACCCAAGACTCCATCCAGGCTGGCACTGAATACTGCCAGGGATGGAGCATTCACAACTTCCTTGGGCAACCCATTCCAGTGCCTCACCACCCTCATAGTAAAGAACTTCTTCCTTATAACTAACCTAAACTTCCCCTGTTTAAGTTTGAACCCATTACCCCTTGTCCTATCACTACAGTCCCTGATGGAGAGTCCCTCCCCAGGATCCTTGTAAACTCCCTTCAGATACTGGAAAGCTGCCATGAGGTCTCCATGCAGCCTTCTCTTCTCTAGGAAATTTTTTGTCTGTACTGATCACTTTTAACAGGTTCTACCTGTAACACAAAAGTTTGTACAAACAATGATGCAAAGATATTCAGTAGTCTGGATTACTACCTCACCATGATTAAGCTGAAACATAGTGTTTGTTAAGTATGTGAGAAAGTAAACATTTGTAATTTCTTCATTAAAATGCTTTCTTTTGGCATGTAATTTGTATGTTACTTTTTCAGTAGCTTTACTATAAAAAGTACTTAAGCAGGTGCTTTTTATCTGTCCTTATCTAAGAGAGTATTTAAAGAGGAGTTGAATTTTTAATTCTCTCAAAGGGAGCTTTGCTTTCATAGGGAAGTCAACCCAAATCAGGTCATAAATGTAGAAATTGATCAGAATTCTTTGAACTGCTACATGATGTTTCCCCCTTCTTTTTTTTTTCTGAGGTGTATTACATTTCCTACATGGAATGATATTAAAAATGTTGAGTCAGTTATAGTATTGCAGAGCCAGTATGTTTGGACTTTTACTGTACGGCTGAAACCAAGAAACTTCTGATAATCAGAATTAATAGTACTTGCAGCAGAAAATATCACTCTGTATCAGCAAAGAAAAAGCATTTAAATAAATCTGAATTATTTCAGATCATTTTACAGATATTCCTGCAAGTATCTTCACTTTGAAAAGAAAGTTTTGCATATCGCAAAACTGGCAAAGGCCTCTATTCTCTGACTTTACTGTTGTATTAGTCTAATCATAACCATTTAAAAATTTAGGGTTTTGTTCTTCACATCTAAATATGTATGCTTATGAGTTTTTTTTCTATTGTTGTTTCCCACATACAGGGAGTTCTGAGTGCTACCCCACTTGTTTTTATCATCCCATCAGCGTGTTACCTAAAGTTGTCCAAAGAGCGATGGAACCATTCAGATAACCTCATATCCTGCCTGATTCTTGCTGTCGGTGTGCTAGTGATGACAGTTGGGTTTGTTTTGACTGTATTGCATCCCCAGGAATGTAGCCATGGAAAAGAAATGTTCTACTGCATCTCTAGTAATATTTCTTCTCACAACAGTACACTTCCACCACAGGTAGAACACCAATCTGCAGACTAGGTCATATACATCTCACAGCAAGCCATACATGCCAGTTTAAATGACAGCGGAACAAAGAGCTTTTATGCTTTGATAGGCACTAAGAATTTTAAACTGTGCAACTGTAATTACATACTTGGTTTTATGGTGCCATCCTTTTCCAGATAGGACTTCAGTTTTAGCTGTTGAAACAGAAATTCTCAGAGGTGCCTTTCAGTAGACATTACTTGAATAACTTGCAAACCTGTCGAAAAAGGCTGCATTTTTTTTTTAACTTAGTCTTACAGCTGATTAAAATCTGTAAATGAGACGTTTAGGAATGTAGACATCTCCAATGTTTCATTGCTGTAGTTTGGTACTAATTTTAAAATCTTTAATGTATATTTGTTAGCACTCCATAGTATGAGGTTCTTTTGAAGTCCTGAAAAAAAAAAAGCATGCATGGATCTGTCTATGTGTATTAAACTTCTGCTCTTCATTTGAAAGAGCCCTATTAATTGTGTCTTTGATTTTGCCATAACTGTCCTGTAGTGCTGAAAGCATCCTTTGTACTGGCTCTTGAGTCAATTTTGTATTCTGACTGAACTGTAACTGATGCAATTCAACTGTTATTGTTACAACGTGTGGTCTTCTAATTAAAAGATACTGCATGAATAAATCTACACAGGTGAATTTTAAAAGACTCAAGTAAACAGTCTTTGTAAAAATTTCAGGATTGACAGAGAAGAAAATAAAAGAAACACAGCTTGGTTCTTACATTTATAACCCTATTGATTATTTCTGAAGCTGGATTGAAACATTGCTATATGCTAGGCCTGTGCAGCTTTAAAAAAATCTGTAAGAAAACATTCTGAACTTGGTTATCATTCTAGTCCTCTGTTTCTTTTCAATATATGGCTATTGATTTTTTTCATGGCTTGTTAAATTCCAGTGGGTTTTTTATTTATTTTTTTTTATGTTCTCCAAAGTCTGTTTAACGTTGATTCATGTGTGTGTATATATATATAGATATATATTTACACATATATACACAAATACATAGATATGCCCATAGAATACAAGTGACTTGAAGTTGAGAATGAGTAATATTGGTATCCTCAGTACCAGTGCAGGGATTTTGAATATATTTTGTTAACAAATCAAACTCTGTACTTTCAGTTAGGTTTTGCTTTATTGTGATCATTGTGGTTCCTTTTGCCCACCATTCCTTGACAACTATATGTATAATGCTACTCCATTCTTATGGTATTAAATGAGGTGGTGATGGTTTTTGTCTTCAGATCATCCTGTGTGACACAGCTCTTTTTTTCAAGCTAGTAGCTAAATAGATCTTTAAGCAAGGATTGCTAGATGGTAATAATACTCATAGGAATAACACACTTCTTTCTTCTGAAAGCAGTGCTTTAATAATAAATGTTTTAAGTATTGTTGGGGTTTTTGGAACGGTAGGTTTCCTTTGTTTGTTTCTTTTTAAGTTGTAAAACTATTAGAGACCTGGAAGTGTTATTCTGCTTTAACTTCCCTACACAGAGTCAACTTTAAGGGTGATTATTTATCTGTAGTCCAGGTACGTGGTACTGTTGACAGAGAATATTTTTCATGAGTAGATAGACCTACCAGAGTAGATCCAGCAATAGCTGATTTTGTCTTAGCTGTGCATAAGTAGTCGCTGGATAGATTCATCTCCTTCTGTGCCAAATGAAGTTAAATATTTCATTGTGACAGCTAATGAGATCTTTCTGATGAATCAGAAATCTCTCATAAGTCTCATAACCTTTTTTGTTCTTAAGTATGTTACCCCTGTTTCAAGTATTAATTATAAGCTATCCCTGCTTTACAGGGTCTGTAGAATAATTTATAGGATGCATTGTAGTATTGCCTGTTCAACTTAAAGATTCTTTTGAGGCTCTGTCAAGTATTAAATCACATTTACCTGTCCTTTAAGAAGGCCAAGTCTTTCTATGACTTTGTACTTTATAACTGCAGATTTAAAGAAAATTGGTTTCATGATGCTTTGTAATTTGAAAAATAAAAAGTCTCAAGTTGTAATGTTCAGTTAAATTTTCATTGATGGTAAAACTTCTTTTGCTCTGAAAAGTTTCTTTTGCCAAAACTAAGTGCATTCATGTAATCATATTAGCGGTTATCATTCATGAATTTCCCAGGGGATGATGGGGCTGTCTCAACAATAAGTACACTGAGAAAGGGAAGCCAGATGTCATGGATGCCAGAATTTAAAGTTAATTGCTATTTTGCTAATGGCTTTATAGAAGCCATTTTTATTTCCTTTTCAGTATTACATAGTTTAGCTTACCTTTATTGAAATGGCAAGAACCAATAACCTGCTATATGCTTTCTTAGGACCTAGGGGGTCTGAATACAGAAAGAAGCACCTTTTTTATTTCATAATAAAAACTGTGATAGCCGATGTTTTTTTGGAAGCAGTTAAGACTCCCAAAAATAAAGTTTTACCTATCACTAAAACAATACGGAAAGCATTTGAAGTTATAAAAATAAAGCTCATATAAATATGGCAGTAGGTAAGTCTTGTTGCAATAGTAAAGAAAGATATGAAAACGTAAAAGGAAACATTACAGAAAAAAAATTACAACAACACTGAAGAATTACTAGTGAATATACTTTAAGCTTCAAACAGAAATGTCTTTCTGTGACTAAAAAATTAAGGCAAAAGCAGCAATTTACAATCTGGTAGTTTTAATGAAGCTTACTGAGAATTAATGAAAACTAGTTACTACCTGTTTTTATACTACTGAATAGACTTTTGCACTGAAGAATATACTTTAGATTTGTAGGTATAAAGTAGGTTTGGTTGGTAAGTAGAGGGGTTTATCATTGCTTAACTACTGAACAAATCACAACCTCTGGCTCTTGGTATTTCAGTAAGATAAAGGTTTCTTTTTTATCTTTGTATCTTTTCAAATTTTTATCTTGGTTTGGCTTGTTAACAGTGCAAACTGGAGTTTGTTCTAGCTTGGTAAAATCCTTTGGGATGCTCTCACTGGCTTCAGGATGTGCAGGATCCATAGTACTTCAAGCAGAGGTGTGCTGTGTGCAGAAGTGGAAGGACTGCTGGAAATAGTAATATCCCTGACTCTAAATGCTCTGTGGTGACAGGACTTCATGGAATCCAGGCAGAAGGAGAGCAGCAATATTCCACAAGCACTTACTGGCAGGTTTTTCACATCAAAAGCTGGTAGTGTGACTCACTGTTTCTTCCAAGTTCCTCTCTGTAGCTGAGAAGGCATTTCAGGACACCAGATGTACAATTACCATTCTTACAGAAGCTAAGCAGACTGTTTCTGACTTTTTTGAGCAGTGTGTTTTTTACCAATCACAGACTTTTGCATGTTCACAAAATACTTTCTCCTGAAAGTCTGTCAGATGAGCAAACCCCATGTACTACCATAGACTTCCTAGAGAATCTTCTTTCCTCCTCAAGTTTCTCTGTGGAGGGGGAACAGAATGGCTCAGGTTTGCTAAATGGACATAATCCTGTATATTTTCACACACAAAATCTTTGTATCTCATATCACACATGTTGTCTGGATCTGATACAGGAAGGATATTTTTATATTTATTAGATAAACTATTTAGTATTTGTGACTCAGTAGCAAAAAAAACCTCAAATGTAGGGTTAGGATTTATTTGGACTCTGTCTAGCGTGAGCACTGACTCAAAGTTAGGGAGGAAGACAAGTGATAGAATAAACAAATGTATTGAGTGCAAAACATGAGATTGAACACATTCACATAGCAGGAAGAGAGGAGAAAACAAAAAAAAACCAAAAAATCACAAGATTATAATTTTATAATTTTATAGTAGTTCTGTAACATGGAGATTTAATTTTAAAAAGCAGTCCTTAAGTTTCAGCCTAGAAGCTGTATTGCAACATTTGTGGTTTGGATATTTCTTAGAATTGGCATAAATTCTATAAAGTAAAGGATTTGAATTCAGGCTGGTGAAGGAAATAAGCAGAAGCTTTCCAGTTTCTGTCATCCAGTGCTATTGAAGACGAGATTCAGGTACAGGCTAGTAAAAATTCAACATGACTCAAAACTCTTTATAGAAATAAATTACATTATTTGGTTATTCCTCTTTCTGCTTATTTTGCTGTTTCCTCTTAGCTAAATGTTGATTCTAGATGCTTCATATGGCAATGTATGGAAAAGCTATTTTTGCTGTATAGAATTCCAAAATCACATGCAGCGGGATGTTCAAAGAAACTTCAGGAAAGTCTAAATTTTCACATATGGTTTCCTAAAGGAGGCAATGGCCACTAAACCCTGGAAATTGCCAGTAAAATTCATGGACTTACTTAATTCATATAAGTACTGAAATAATGAGCTGAAGATAAAAAGAAAGTTGGAAACGAAGTGAAAATTACTATTAGACACTGTAGGAACAAATTACAGATGTCATTTTGTAAAGCCTACATTAGGTGGGATCATGCATATTAGCTTTAAGTGGGAAGCTTATGTTCAAGCAGTTCACTTGGCAGGCTCAGCTGCAGCAAGTAAAAAGCTCTGTACTAAAATAATTCCACACAGACTGCTCCAGTTAGCCCCTATTTTCCTTTGACTCTTCAGCAGTGTCCTTTGTCTTGGTAGTGGTAGATAAAAATGACAGTGGTGGTATTGCTGTCCTGCCAAGACTGACTGGCTGAGATTTTGTGGTGGTATGCTGTGCACATCTTTCATGACTTTTATTTGTAGAGGCAGGGAGTATATTTTTGCGTGTATGTGTTCATATACTTTTTAGTACACTGGCTTCTGATTGGTGAGAAGGCCTCATGTGTTGTAATATAAGCAGTAAACATTATACCTTGGCCATATTGTACTGTTACGCTATCATTATATTTTGCCCCCATCATGAATGAATAGCATAAATACATCACTGGGTAACAGAGGGTCCCTTTGCTTTTATTTTTGGGTAAAATATTTTTTTGAGGAAAAAAGGCTTAGAAGATGTCTCCGTACCTGGTTCATTGCATTTTGTGGCTCTTCTGAAAAGGACGCAAGTGTCAAATACCTTATTTATGTAGCCAAAATGTTCAGTAGTTATTCTAGTTTTTGTAGTGCTTATGAGAACTCTTGTGAAAAAGCAGTATACTGCCTATTATACAGAATACGTTCAAATACTGGGCAGGCCTGGCCCTCTTGGAATGCTAATTAACTCATCAAAGGAGGCATGTCTGGGGTCATGTGACATTTGATGAAGCGACAGCTGTCTAATTTTGGCTGCCTTTCCTATCAACTTATTTGGAAAGATAATTTTGAGGGCAAAAGACATATATTTTAAAATCTAAACTGCTTGGATTAAATGTCAATGATTAAGATAGATAGACCTTGTCTATTGAGAGACATCCTTGTCGCTAAATTGGAGAGACATCAATTCGATAGGTGGATGTCCTGGGTTCAGCAGTAGCAGTCATTTTTCTCCTTCTTAGTAGCTGGTGCATTGCTGTGGTTTTGACTTTCGGCCTGGGAACAGAGCTGATAACACCAATGTTTTTAGTTACTGCTCAAATGTTTAGCCTGGCCAAGGACTTTGTGAGTCTCATGCTTTGCAGGGAGGAGGGGAAGCCAGGAGGAAGCAGAGACAGGACACCTGACCCAAACTGACCAAAGAGGTATTCCATACCGCAGCACGTCATGCCCAGGATGTAACTGAGAGTTACCCAGAAGGGCTAGTTCACTGCGGGATTGGACAAGGTATCAGTCGGTGCCAGGTCGGGCAGGGTGGGGTGAGTTATCGGGTCAGCAGGTGGTGAGCAGTTGTATTCTCTTCCCTTGTTATTTCCCTTATCATTATTATTATTGGTAGTAGCAGCAGTGATTTGTGTTATACCTTAGTTACTGGGCTGCTCTTATCTCAACCCGTGGGAGCTGCATTCTTTTGATTCTCCTCCCCATCCCTCCAGGAGCA